GATGCCGACATATACCAATGATCACTCATTTTTCTTCAACTTTGGTCTATCTTATCACAACAAACTGTCCAATTTCATTCACCCACTTGCTTTGGAGCTTGACATCCATGATAATTTGACTCTGACAACTTTATCCTCCCATTTTTTTGAAGTATTTTTATAAATTTATTTAATATTATAATTAAAAAAATCAAATTCTTAATTTATAAAAACATAATAAAATTTAAAATTTATCCAATTTTTACTACCTTTGATAAAATGGTATAAAATTTATCTCAATTTTTTTATACCTAAAAATATCATATTTTTTGCACGATCCTTAATGTTATACAACTCAAGTAATACGCTTCTCAACATCAAACAATCTCACTAATTAATTCTTATTTCTTTCTCTATTTCTCTTCCTTATTCGTTTTTTTGTCTATTTTAATTTAAATTCTGTAATTAAAAAATAAAAAATAAATTATTATGTAATATTGTATAATTAATATTCGATTTTTGATATTGCAGAGTGTTTCCTAATATACCTAAAATTAAAATCCATTCTCATTAATTTTCTATTTGGATAGATTTATCTATTTTAAATTTAACAAAACTATACATATGTACGGTCAAACACACACACACACATATAAATGGTCCGCTCCAATACCCGACAGATGTCTTAGAACACCTTCAAGTTTTTGTCAATGGGTAACGTAATCATTTATAAGACAAATGTGTGATGATAATTATTGTTAATTTATAGGTCTCACATGTGTATATATTGCATATTAATTATAGGTATAAATTAGATTCAATGTTAAATCTTATCTTTGTAAGAAAGAGTTTAAATTTGAATTTAGAAAAGTCAATAATTTAAAACCTGATACGATCCGACAAGTTGGCTAAATCGAGTCAGATCACTCATTAGATGAGTGTTTTAAAACTCGGCCTAACCCGGAAATCCGGTGAACGGGAATTTGAACGGAGCCGGTTCATAAGTTAGATTGATCAAGCACTAAAACCGCCTAATACCCATTGAACCGGATGATTTTTTAAATAACCGTTCAAACCGGACGGATTTAATCAAACCGGGCGGGTCATTCAAGAACTTTATACATTTAGATTTTATTTTTTTTTGCCCTAATTTCTATCCGCCTCATATGGTCTCATAACTCCGTCTCTCGCGCGCCTTTGCGACCTCAATCATCTCAGTTCAGGTAGCCATGAGTCACCACCACCATCGTCGAATTTGTTCATGCTACAGGTTGTCTCTCTATCGTCTCATCTCATGTTGATGGTTGAATCAAATGAGGGTTTCACTCTTTGTATTTCTTGATTTTTTCCACTGGACACAGGTACATCATCACCATTTCTCTCTCTCTATATGATATGTAGACTATTCACTCTTTATTTTCGTATTTTTTGTCACTTATTTGGTGAATATTGCACTTATTTTTAAGAAACGCAACTTAGTTCTTAGCTCGTGGGTTTCCCCATATTTGGCTGCTTGATTAGATAAAGGAGATTAGTGATCTACAATTTTTTATTACCATTAGTAGGTGTACACGTGCGTTGCACGTAAATAATTTTGATTTATTTATTTTATATATTTTTCAATGTTTATTTGTGCAACAAAGTTTTTAGCCGTAGTTTTTGTGCTATTTATCATTTAGGAACATGACACTTTGAAAGTGAATACAAAAAGAACAAGTGTATATTTGAGAGATAATTGATAAATTGAATATCATAGCCTATTTAGTTTGAAGTATTCCTACAAAAAAAAACCTTTGCAATTGTAAGAAAGTCTCTTTAACTCCTATACCAAAAACATGTAAAAGATTGCATAATTTTTAAAAAAGCAAATGCAAGATTACAAATATAAAGAGAAAAATAAAACATGAAAAATCTTGATGAAATATTGTTTAAAGTGTTATCATAATAAAATGGACCACAATATCCACTTTACTTCAAACCAAATTATCGCAATAAATAATTAAAATAACTGAAATATTGTCTAAGTTTTATCCTAATACAAGTGAAACCAAGTTTTAAAACATATAAGAAATTTGGTTTTGAATTTCTCAAGAAAACTAACATGGAGGGGGTGCAAAGAAAAATAACAATGGGATACATGGTCAACCTTAGTGGGTCAACCAATTTCAACCTCAATTTTTTTTAAATATATTATATGTATACTTACCCACTCTATAATTTTCTTATTTCAATTGTTTTATCTTTTTTATTGTATTAAGGGTTTTTTTTTCAGATGATCTTAATTTTATTATTTTTGAATTTTTAAAGGTAAAAGTTATTGCAAATGACTTTCATTTGACTTTTATTATTTATACGAAAAATCGTCTCTATTTCTATTCAAGTATTGATTATAGCATTTATTATGTGACAATCGATTTTTATTTTTTTACTATGATTAGCTCTTAAAATTTAGTTTAGTAGTTTTATTATGCTAATATCTCAGTGATAATGCTTGAAAGTTTGAAACATTGTTTATTGAATAAATTTAATGAATTGTTAATAAATAATTTATATTTTTTAATTACAAAAATTACAATTATCTTCAATTTTTTACTAGGGTGATAATAAATCATGTTTTTTTATACACATACAATATATTTTCTTTTGGCCTTTTCTATGTTAAATGGATTTTATGTATAAAAAAATGTATCAAATATGATCTAATAAATATAAATATATTATATAGTGTAATTGGTTAGGAGGAAAAAAAAATTAGAATGTGTAATTAAAGTGTCCACCCCAAACAAAGTTCTTGGCTTTGCTCTTGCATATATTTGGTAAATATTGATTATTATTCGGTAAACAATCACGTTTTATTAGAACTTTCCAATAACTACTAATTAAACTATTTTTAAAAAGAGTATCTAGTGACAATACTTAGCTAATACTCTATGAAATTTTAAATGAAATAATTTAAAATGTGAAATTTACAATTATTATGGTCTTCAATGTAAGATTCGGTGTCTAGTACTAAGTGAATATATAAAACTATCATGGTCATATATCGATTGATGTTTAGAACATTTTTACAACCACCCTAATAGCGAGTGTGAGAATTATTTCTAGCATTTTAAATGCAGAAAATTGGCAATGAAATCTAAGCAATTTTTACCTTCACCGTAAGTTTTGGCGTCATTGAAGTAGACATGAGGAGGCAACTTAGTGAAGTCGATGTGTTCTACCAGAGGCGGCAGCGTATTGTTTACATAGTGGGTTATTTCATTGTAAAGAGGACGATTTTGGTCAGATACCTTAACTAAACAACAAAACAAAGCAGTACAATGAATTGGTTGATTTCATTCCCATTTTGTCACTGATACCAAATGCCATGAAAAGATCACTAAATTCTTCATGTGTGAATTAATCAGTCACTCAAGGAAGTAATACTTTAACATCTGTGATACCAAAAAAATTACATTAACACTATGTCTATACTTTGTAGTGGGTCATTATTGGTACTATTACACTATGTCTATACTTTTTATATTATATCACTCACAAAAGCATCAGCTTATTGCGAATCAATTTATGACACATTCTATCTTCTTCCTTATTCTCATCCTTGTCATAGGTGGTTACCAATAATCACAAATAATTTCTTTAAACCTTGCGTTGATCATGATCTCCTTAAAAAATATCCCAAAAGAATGCCATCCAAGCCAATAAGTAGAACATATAGAACAAAAGCCCCAGTAATACTACGTCCATGCCTCAAAAGTTCCTACCCTAAAACATTAAAACATAACATTGTGCAATTGACTTGTATAATGCATAGCAGAGTCACAAAAAAAATGAGGGATGATAAATTATAAGCTCTCCCAGTAGCCTCTAAAGAAATGGATGTAAGAATTGGACTTGCCAAACTAAAATAGAATACAAAACAAAAACAAGGAAATAAACAAATTATTGAATTAGTACCTGTTGAAACGATGTCAATGGTTTCATTATTCACACACACAGTTATTGTACTTGGGGGGAGGGGGAGGGGGAGGGGGAAAGGGAAAGGGAGGAAGGGGTTGGAGAAGTGTACTGAGTAACACAGGTCCACAAGTGTTTTTAAGTGAGACAACACTTGAGTTCCTTGCTTTATTTAGCACCTGTCTGTGTAGGAAGAAAGAATACGAAAGACCTAAATTGCTTCAAATTTCAATTTGTAGTTGATATTGAATGTGAATGCATGCTTTAATGTACAAAATATCTTAACTTTAGAACAATTGTCTATTTGTCTCTTCATCAGTTAAAAACAAGGAAAAAAAGGAAATCAAAAGTAGTATAGTGTGCCTTTTAGGTATTCGAAACGTTTTGCAAAAAGATGAAAGGGTGCTCTGTTCAACATTATTGCATTAAGTAGTATTCATTTAGTATAGATTGAATACTAATTTGGCGTTGTACAAAACTATAAGGATAATTATGAAAAAAAATGTTTTTCACTTTAGCAGCCTTTAGAAATAGTAAAGATAAAGATCTAGATTGTGTTTGTATTAGTCCATTCTTGAAAATCTGCAACAATTATTGGTGGGTTTTAAACCTTATTGATAATTGTTTAAGATTTTGGATCCCATCAATGCCATTAACAGATGCAATGAAAGGGTTTGAAGACTGGTAGGCAAAAATTTAATGTCCACGGGAAGAATTGGGAATTTTTGGCCTATTTTTCGTTAATGCATAAACAAAATGTGCATATACTAAACATGTTTTTTATAATTATAATTATAATATTTTTTTGGCATATTTATTAATATAAATATTTATTTTTTATTTATATAACCGGTTGAATTAGTGGCCCATTTTCCCGGTCTTTTATTGGGTTACTGTGTGGGCCGGGATTAAAACTATGCATTCCACCAGAACCGGATAAAACCCGCTAAACCGGCTTAAACATGCTGACCCGTTCCACCCGGACAATTCGCTTCAAACCGGCCGGATCATTTTATATTGAATAAAAGGCTGAGTTTTTGGGATTTTGCCCTTAATCCGTAAATCTCTAACAAGTCGAATGAAAGGCGAAAACTAGTGACTGTGAGGCCTCTGCCTCTTCCCAGCGATCGTCGATCTTCTCAGCCTAGTCTCTCTCTCTGAGTTTCAGTCTCTCAATCAGAGTTCTCTTTGTGTGCTGCTGCGAGCAAGCAAGGGACGAACCGACGAAGGCTGCTTCAAAGCTCCATCCCATCGAAAGATCGACAACCATTGACAGTAGATTAGGTAATACTAACTCTCTCTCTGTTGGTCTCTCTCTCTACTCTGACTCTCTGAGTACTCTCTAACATGTACACAGTACATGCCTTAATCGGCAAAAAAAATTATATTTGATTTTTGATTTCGTTTATACATTGAATCTGTGATTATAGTTTAGAACCTGTGATTACAATTTACAACCTATGATTATAAGTAGTTAAGAGCTGATTGTTTGATCAATTGAGCAAATTAGGGCAATTTTTTTTATTTTGCTTATGGTTACGAGAAGTGCTTGAGCATATTTGTGGTGGTCTTTCATGCATTAGTTTTTGATTATTTTCATTTGTTGATGTAGGAGCTTTATAAGCTTGAATCAATATTTTTAATATTGTTGGGATGTTATTGGTGTTAGAAATTTTTAAGCGTGAAATTAAATGTAGATATATGGTGGTTTTTTATTCTGTGAAATGAGATGATGTTGAGTTTCTTGTCTTACTAGCGGTAACTCCTGCCGTCAAAGGACACGGTGTAATGTGAATAGTTTTGAGAGAGATATTGGTAGCTGTTGGATGAGTTTGTTAGATGAGTTTATTTAAGATCGTCGGATGAATTTATTGAAGTCTGATCTTTTTTAATATTATGGATGTATCTTAGTTTATACTTTAAAGTTTAAAGTGTAAAGTGGTGTGCTGTGGGGTTTAATTGTGGTTTTTTGGATACATGTTGGATAATTTTTTTTTACTTAACTTTACATGTTTAATGTTATTTTTATAATTATTGTGATTTTTTAACTTATTTATTATAATTTAAAATTATTTTTTTATTATATTGCCTGATTAATGACCCAACGGTTAAATCAGTGACCCATTGACCCGGTCTTTTTACCGGATTGTTATTAGGGTCGGGTTTTAAAACTATGCTTATACTTAAAGTCGGATCACGAGATTGTCATAGCCAGCAATTGTCCACAAAATAAAAAGAGTTGGGCCCATTGAGTTTGATGGACTTTCCAAAGCAAGATTCGCAGGCCCAGTATGAGTTAATCTCGAACCAACCAACCAACCAACTTTAGAAAGTCGGTTTGTTTGTGGATTTGGGCACGAACCAGGCAGCGCCAGCCTAAAACCGCCACAATGCCGTAGCTCCAGTAACGCTGCACGCAACTGTGTGTCCGCATTCCGAGGTTTACAATCCTCTTTGAAACCCTAATTTCCCAGTCTCTTCCCCTTTCTCTTTATATTTACGTCATTGAGCTTGTATACGTATTCTCTATATATGCCAGGTTTCGATGTTTTTAGAGGATAATGATTTGTAGTAATTTTTGTTTGGGGGGGTGGTTGGGAATGGGGCTTTAAGTTTCATTTTTGTTTGATTGCTTTCTCTATTGTATAATGGCTGACTTGTTATGAGATTTTCTCTATTGTACAATGCCTGAGTCGTTATGAGAGGTTGTATTTTTGATAGGAGCAGTTCTTACTTGTAGTATCCGTAGTGTAAGTTTGGTCTATAGTTCATAGAATACCTATTTGTGTCGGATGTACAATGGGTTAATCTTTTTTTTTTTTCTTTTCTTGTTGGTCTTTTGGATTGCACTTTTCTGCAAATCATTAATGCCTTTACACTGGTTATCGTTTTGTAACCAAGGAGTCTCTACCAATGCAGTGGTAAGATACTCCGATTATAACTGTAAGGTGATAGGCTTATTATTTGAAGAGAATCAGTTCTGTATATAATGTCAAAGTTAGTCCACCTTCACACGTGCCCGATCAATGGGACCGATCTCAATGATGACTTGTTATGAACTATTATTAGCATTTAATCTACTTGCATACCTTACTTGTGCATAATTGGTTTCTTTTTTTTTTATACGAGTCAAGGGTCTATGTGTTGTTACTTGTTATTCATCACGACGGGTTTGAGTTGTTTACAAATTACAACTGTCAATGTTTCTCTCATTTAAATATTTTCTTTCTAATGTGAGTGTTTTATGCCTTCGAACCAATTGCAGTCTAGGTGGGTTCATGGAGGGAGGGGAGAGTGTATTAGATGCCATCTTTGAAGAGGATAATCTTGAAGATGCCCAAGATATTGAGATGCTTGATGTAGAAGAAGGAGAGTTGGTTGAGCAGACTGCACCAATTGACTTGGGAGAAAATGCTGGCAGAGATGCTAACATTATAAACCAAGATTCTCGAAGTAAAAATCCAAGACGTAGAAATAAAAAGAGGAAGAACAAGAGAAAAAAGGCAGTTCAGGGCCAGATGCCACAGACATCAACAGGTACTTCTTATCCCAAACATTCTCTCTGATTTAGTTATGGAGAAAGGAACAAACGGCTTGCTTTATATTGTTAGAACATTTTGCCTACAAGCATGTTTGACATGTCCAAACCTTGTCCTTCCAGTTTCCTTTATTTTGATTACGAACAAAAGCTTTTCATTGGTGATGAAAAGGACTTATATGAGGGATGAGAAGTCCTTCCAGTTTAATAGAGGGGAAGGTGGCTTAGAATTTTAGGTTTATTGGGATTGTCACCGGTGGATTTGTCTTTTGGAGCCTATGGTATCCCACTATTCCTATCACAGATAGATATGTTTTCATGGCAAAAGGGTTTTGCAATTTTTGTTAAAACAAAATCGGACCTTTTTGCAACTTTTTGGGGTTGCTCTAGGAACATTTCCTGCCACTTTATTCTGTCTGTGAGCCAGATTTGGTTTGAAGTCGTAAATCATGGCATGACTTTAAATCGTGTATTTATTGGTTTTCCCTGTATATTTAGTATGTTCTCAAGTCCTGCATAGTTGTGGTCATTGCTCTTTCTATCTTGTGAAGAAATCATCGAAACGAGCATTGTTTGTTCTGTTTTGAAGGAAAGGGAGTTCACACTGGAGGGCTAACTTTCTCTCTATATTTTACATCCGCAGATTTGTGTTAGATGTTTGTAAGCGCTTGAAAGAGAAGAAGTCTTACCTGGTATATACTGCTGTGGGTGTTTTGGGTGTATCTGCTTTGAGTGATATTGTCAAAGAGGTATCATTTCCATTTGATGTAATTTAGAGTTATGTTTATGCAATCTAAGCCTCTTTGAAGTTATACAGTCCACTGCTTCTTGAATTGGTTTTATATGCAAGAGAAGTGATTAGTACGATTTATGTAGAACTATTTTTAGATGAAAAATTGTGTGCGTGAAGAAGATTTGTAAAGTGAATATGATTTTCTACTTTGATGTAACTTAGTCTTAAGTGGGAGTAAGTCAAAAGGTGACATTAATGGGTGAGACATTTTTTTTTTTTTTTTGGGAAAGTGGGGCATAAAGTATGTGAACAAGTAGTGTAGTATATCTTCATTGTTGTTGCTTTTGTCATGTGGTTAAAATATTTTAAAATCCCTTGAGTTGATAGGATGATCTCAATAAAAACTCGCTATACCATTACAGTAGTGCTAGCGCTAGTTTGAGTAATGATTTCAAAACTGGAATTCATTTGTCAAATAGAACTGCTTTATTATAGTTAGGTTCAAGGGTTTCTTTTCTACAAGAAACCATTTGCTCAGGCTTAGTCTTATCAAATCAATGGCTCACAATCTTTCAATGAAATCAAGGTGCTTACTATTGAGAAAGTTATTTGTGTGCAACAGTAGCCAGTTAATCTAGCATTTACGTATGGTTTTTGTTAGTTAAATTACGTACAGTTTGACACTTTATTAATTTCAGATAATCTTTGTAGCTATCCCTCCTTGCTCTCCCCCTAGTTTTAGGAATGTTCTCAAGATCTAAGAAAAATTTGTGACAGATTGTGAACAGATAACCTGCAAAAATTCAAATTGCGTCTGATGTGCATTGAAAATATGGATGCAACCTTTGTCTGTTTGTTCTTTGGAGTTTGGACCACAACTCAATTGTGCCTTCTTTTAAAAATGCATGGTTAACAATAGCACTTAATCTAAAGGATTTCCTTTAATATTTGTTGGCAGAAAATAAATAAATAATAATAGAGTTGTTTTTTTCTGTGGTCAATATGAATTGTGTGTAATAGTTGTCACATATGCGCGTGTGCGTGTAGTGTGCACGGATGGATAAAGTCACAAAGGACAGGGCCAAACTTTGGCGTAGGGGTGCGGTTTGAAAATAGTTTTCAGTCAGCAATTGAATGTACTGTTGATGTCTTGCAAGCCACATTATTTCCCCCTGCGCAAAGATTGATGCTTTCATTCTATTTTGAAAGAGTCCACACACTAGATACTGTCGTTGACTCGTTTGTGTCAAATATGTAGCGTTTTCTCTGTGTTTATCCTTTCAAAGATATGTTCAAAGGCGCCGTTGAGTGCACAAACAGTGTATTTATTGGTATCCTGTTTTTACTTTCCTGTTCTTTTAACCCATGGTTGTGTGCGCTGCAAACTTTTTCTTCAAAATTGAGATTTTCTTCTTTTTGATGCTCCCCCCCAATCACCCCCGTCCTCTTGGAGGAAGCGGGGGGGACCAAAAAACCCTTTTTCCTGATTAATACATTGTGCTTTTTATTTACTAAATGAGCTTAAAGCTATATTTTGGGTGCTCATGAAGTTGACCTTACCCCATGATTCATATGCCATGTTGAAAGGTCAGAAACTATCAACCTTTTGGTTTCAGTTGCAAGCAAGAAATATTCACTTGGTTATTGCAATGGAAGGTGAGATATTGGAGTTACAGTTGATTTTGGAACAGCCTAGAGCTGACAGTGTTATTCCCTCTATATAAAGATCTGCTACCTTTTTTAGTTTCTGATGATCAATGTTGTTTCACTACACTCGCAGATATTTCGTGCAGAAGCCATTTCACTGTTTCCATTCCTGTGGATCATTGAGACGGGACATTTCTTTGCTGAACCAATTCGTTTCATATTAATAGACTGATGTCAATTGGTTTGACGCATATTTTGCAGTTTCATCACTTGGTATGCATGTAGATACACTCATGCACACAAAAACATTATATGTATTGGTTACATATCCTATTTGAAGGGAAAAATTATCCACCATCTGATGAAAAGTGCGTACCGTGTCTGTAGGGACAATAATATGTGATCCTTGTTGGATGCATCTGATTTTCTATTGCCAAGAAAAATGTGTAAATTGGTGGTGCTTTGTTTTGTTGTTTTATTATATTAGTATCCATTCCTCTAGACGTTGTTCTGGTGTCTATTCGCAAGTTCAATCTTTCTTGCTGATTGGAGTTCTTGCATTTGTATCATTGATGACTGGATAAAAGGTTTAGGGAGAAGAAAGAGAATTACAGGAGCTGTCCTTTTGTATCTTTAGGTTTTTTTTTTCATTCCATCATGTGAATTTCTCAGGGAATGACATGAAATGTCTTTTGTTAAAACCTAGCATTAAGGGAACGATATACAAGAGAAATGGAGAAAAACTCGTGATTGGTAGAGGGAAATATCTGTTTACGATATAGTTCAAAGAAAGAGTCGTCTCATTTTCTTACTTCTTCGTTCTTTCTAATTCATTCACTTCAAGACTGGTTCTGAACGCTGCGTAACATCATCTTTAACCAACCAACCTTCTTTTTGGCAAATCCAATTTTAGTAAGACAAGGGTGCTCTCCTTTTGTCAGTCTGATCTACTTATCAAGATGGTTCCATATGCAATGGCAAAGAGCCGAAGAAATCGATTCGTTATTCCACTCCATTGGATTCAAGAATGCGAGAACGAATTAATGCCCCGTTCAGATATCTCGATGTCCTTGCACATATACGAGGATGTAACTTCTAAGACAGGATGATATGAAATCTTTTGAGTGCTATGCAGGGTGGATGACTGAGACTACTGGATTATGAACAGTTGAACTTGGTAAATTAGAATTTAGTAAAAATTTATGTGTGTGTTCGTTCTAGTAAGATCTTTAAGCAGTATAGGTAAGCTTTTACAATTCGATTATTTTAGCTGTTCATCATTCATGTTTTTTCTATTTCAAGGACATCTCTGTGTTTTATTTTAATTTCATATTAATTAGAGCCTATGAGAATGTCCTATTAGACTACTTGTTTCTTGAAAATAGGATTGTCTTTTTTAGCTTTGTTAGTCTATTTTACCTTTCTGGCTTTCTGCTGGTTTTCATTGTGCAGTTGGATATGTAACGAAATGGAAAATATGCAGGTTGATGCAATTCAGGCTTGTGGAGGTCAGAAGACTGCTGATGGTAGACGCTATCGGACAGGTGGTGGTATACTATGGTGCATTCTCAAAGCACGTGATCCAAATGCCTACAGGGAAATAATGAAAAAAGGGAAGGAGTTTGAGGTAAATTACTTACTTTTGCTTTTAAATAGTATACTTAAATTTTAGCTTGTAAAAGCTATTGCTTGGTGCTTTTGTTTAATTTGGCCCTATGCACTTGGAAACTTAAATTGTATTTCCTTTTTCCATTATTCAAATTAGTAGGGGCACACACAAATTGAGTGCATAAGTTTAAGCTAATAAGTACGTAGTTTTGGTTTAGTAGGGAGTGATGAATCTTGGAGAAAAAAGCAAAATAATCCCAAATCGTGTTTGGGGCAAAATTATGGACATGCAAACTTTCCCTTTAGGTTCCATTGTGAATTGAGGAAAGCTATAACTAGGAAATGGATGAAAAAAAACCTCACAATAGCATCTTCTGGAGGGTAGGAAAAAGTAGAAGTTGATACTTAATTCATAACAAGTCTTACAGTCTGCCTAAGAGATATGGAGCCTTCTGTTGTCAGTGTTTGATATATCTTGCATCTAGAGCTCTGGTAGGTTGTTGGAGAGATATGGGTTAGAGCAGACGATGGAAGGAATTGGAGGATAGTCTCATGATGTCTCATGTTTTATAGTTGGAGGGAAAGAAGAATAGAGTTGATCCCTTCATGTTATGATACTGTTTTTTCTGGCTCGGAGTGTGTACCTAGTGAGATAGGGGCATTAAACAAACCAAGCTATTGGCCCACTAGAAAGATTGTTCAAGCTTGTAAGTCTATGTGAGCCCTGTTCTAACCAAGTTTAACTTGGTTGTTAGATGATTTAGACTTGAGCAGACACTAGGTTAGCCTAATGAGGCTAGCAAAAATTGTGTAGATATCTCTAGAGTGGCACTCTAGCATGGCGCAAAGTTGATTTTTGTGAAATGATGATGTCACTGGAAAGGTGGACGTGGACCCATTTAGAGTAACGTCTTTTTGTTTGGAAACATGGATGCAAACTATCGGTTGTTAGTGCTACTCATTGACCCTTGGTGGGGCTTTTAAATGAATTTCCAATTGCTCGGGCTCATATTTGTGACAATGATGTCACATAAAAGGTGGGCTCATAAAGACTTGAGAGTATGGAGTGGACTGCCCTTTCTTCTTCCCTGCTCCCCGAACTGCCCTGCCAAATCAACCCTGTGAGTCGTGCTGCCCCATGTAGGGGTAATCTGCAACCCACCCTATCCAAATTGGAAATGCCCAAAAACCCAATATGGCCTGTTTGGACCATTTTGGTTAATTCACATCATAATCGTGTTGGGTCAGGCTTGATTGGCACAAACTTGTCCCACCACAAAACTGATTGGGTTTGGGACATCTCATCTCATACCTGCCCTTCCCCCATTCTACGAACCCCATACCTAGCATTAGGGACGGACTGCTTGTGCATTTTGCCCTGTTGCCATCCGTATTCATGCAATATCATCAGGCCACTTCCTAGTTGTGAGCTTGTATTAGCTAAGCTTAAGCTCCTGGTGACAAAGTTGCCTTGAGCCACAGCCGAGCTAGGCACCACATGTATTATAACAGGTCAACCTCAAGCATTTTTGTTGGCGTGCATCTCCTTTTTGGAGGTTATAGTAAGTTTTTGACTTACAGGAAAAAAGAAAAAGAAAACCTGAAAGGAAAGAAAAGAAACATAACATTTGCCCGATGAAAGTCAAAAGTGAGACTTCATCTATGTATTTTAAGGGGTCCTTGTTTGGATGAATGGCTGACTGTCCAGATCATTGATCTCAATTTCTGTTGCAGTCATATTTGACTTGGGATAAAATAATGTTTTTATCATCCCCGATTCCCCATTCTTGTACTCTAGCAAAGTAAGGGCAAAACTAGGTGTCCGAATCATAAGTGGTAAGAGCATCTCCAACCACACTCAGCAAAATAGCTACTCAAAATATATTTAAATATTGAATTCACTATTTTAGCTAGCTACTTTTTAAAATTCATTCTAACCACGCTCTTTATTTTAGTTAACTAGTTCAACTAACTTTAATTAACTTTCAATAATATAATTCAAAAATACCACGTGGCATAACACGTAAGCGTCATAATGATGACGGAGTGTGATGACGTGTTGTGCCATGTCATCAAATTTTTAAATTTTAAATTATAAATTTTACAACAGTCATATTCTCCACGGTTATATTTTCAATGGCCATATTTTCAACAAAGGAAGAATCAGAAACATAAACAAAAAAAAATACATCATTAAAAACTAGATAACTATTGACAACATTTGACGAAACAAAATATGGGCACAAAATGTCAGATTTTCAAGGTTCTTTGTTTCCATCAATTGCATGTGTTTTCCCGAAAGTTCTAAAATAGAACAGTCCAGTAAAAAAAAGATTAGAATTGGAGTCAATATGGTCTCCAAATTGCACAAGACCTCCACCATAGAGGTGAAATAGCACCCATCTCGATAGCAGGAACAAATGCAGAACACCCAGAAAGTCAAGGAAGGGAATCTGACCAATTCAATTTATAAGTTAGCTTCAAAATCACCAAACTAAATTGGGTTTCAAATATTTTGACCAATGAACAATCGAATCTGCTTTTAAGTATAAATGTTGTAGTGTTCTCTGGTAAAAAAAAAATAGTCAAATCGATAATTCAGCTTCAAAATCACGAAATGGAATTGGGTTTCAAGTTTTTGAACAAACCCGGAGGCCAACTAGAATTATTCAACGGAGAACTAAACTCCAAAATCACTAAACCGAATAGGGTCTCAAGTTTTTGATCCATTTATTACATATTATTGAGTGAGCCCAGAATTATAAGTTTTGAGTTGTGAGCAACAGAACTAAATTATAAGTTTTTATATGGTTCCTTAAGCAAATAACGTGTAGATTTCTAACATTTTTTATTATAAATTTATCACGTGATACTTAAATATGGACAAAAAAAATAATTTGGATAGCTCTTGACCAAATTTTTACTTAAATTTTGGTTAAATAGTTACCTAAATTACACAGTTTAGATCATGAACTATTCAAATTTTAGTCAAAAACTATTCATATTATACATTTTTTTGTCAAGAGCTACCTAAATTTTGTTTAAGAGCTATCAGAATTATTTTTTATCCATATTTAGGTATTATATGATAAATTTCTGATAAAAAATCGTTAGCAATTTGGACGTTGTTTGACTATGAGACCATATATAAATATATTCAATACTTTAGGGACAAAAATAGTGCAATTAAAACATTGGGTACCAAAATGAGACAACCCCTATACTTTAGGGACCTCCAATACAATTGACCCTAATTCTTATTAAACACCGAGTGATCTGCTTGGCGTTGTTGAAGTCCAAATTCTAACACTACCTCACTAAATTTGTCAAACCAAGCTTGAAGTGGTTGTTTTAGGCCATATATTGCCTTCTTTAATCGGCATACTTTGGTGGTTGCTCTATATAAACTTCTTCAGCTAATTTACCATGCAAAAATGCATTTTTGACATCTAATTGAAATAGTGACCATTGAAAATTGGCTGCAAGAGAAATAATAACCCGAACAAATGAGATCTTTGCCGCTGGTGAAAAAGTTTCAGCATAATCTACACCATAAGTTTGAGTAAAAGCATTGACAACGAGTTAAGTACTCGATAACATACACCCATCGACAACCAACTAAGGTTGCGTTTGGAAATGTTATCGGTTTTCAGTTTTTAAAAAAAAAAAAAATTGAAACAGTTTTGATTTTCTTTTTATAAAAATTGAAAATAGAAAACTTGTTTGATAATCACTTCTAAATTGTTTTATGAACAACTTATTTACACCATACACTTTCATATTAGTTTAACAGTAAAAATAACAGAATATAAAGATAACACATTAAGAGATAACATAATTCATAAAACATTCATACTACAAATATATCCCATAATTTACCAAACATCCAAGATAATAATCTATATAACATCAACTCATTGATAATAATTCGAGGTAATAATCCATATACACCAAAAATCATATGCCTCAATATCCAACACTTGCCCACAACTCATTGGCAATGCAATTTGAGATCTTTTGATTTGGAAAAATTTTGACACCGCTTTAGAGTCATGAAATACATGTTGAATAGGGCCTAGTTTTAAAATATATCTCTGAATTGTATAGGACCAATGGAACCGTATCCACGATTTATGCTTTTGTTTTGTTATTGGAATGAATGGGCACCTATTTGGACTGTAGCATAGCGAGGCAGAGCTTTGATCTGCCTCTATGAGCTCTAGTCGTAAATAAAAGTTATTGAATAACATTCACTTTAACCTAAAGCAATCAAATCTAACACAAGATCTAAGGAACGAAGCTGTTGGAACGAGAGAGAAGAAGCTGAAAACAAAATCAGATCTGAAAACCCCAGATTTAAGGACTTATGTTGGTGAGAGAGCTTCAGACGAGAGAGTCAAAGTTGCTGGAACGAAGTTGTTGCTAGACGTCTCTGAGCTGCTGGAACGAAGATGGTGGAACGAAGCTCTTGGACGTCTAAGCTGTTGGAACCCTTCTCTGCTAGACGAAGGGAATGAGAGAGAGTTTGAGGGTTTAATATTTTTGCTTGAGGGTTTTTTGGTAGAGGACATAGTTTGTTTCTAACAAGACTCGATGGTAGGATCTCATTAAATTGTTTCCGTGTGTTTCCATTTTTTATTTTTTGGAAACGACTTTTTTTCGTTTCCAAAATTTGAGGCAAATTTGAAAACGATTTGAGTTAAAAAAACAAAAATAATTACCAAACGAGTTTAAATTTCAAGTTTTCTAAAAAATTGAAAATCGAATTGTTACCAAACGGACCCTAAATTTTTTCTCAAGACGAAGGTCGACAAGTGTCCAAGTCTGGTTTTGATATAGAGCAATGAATTCATCTTCCATAGCCTGACGCCACCCAAGATGAGTAAGAGCTTCATGAACAGTGAGCGAAATAGAAGTAGACAAATCCGATGAAGTAAAATAACGAAATGTGGAAGACAAATTATCATAGAAAATAAACTGTTCAAGAAGATGAGCAGTAGAACTCATGAGAAGAGTATAAGAACGCTTACCTTTTCGAAGTGTAACAAGAAGATCAACATCCATAGATGGCTGGAGATCAAGACCTTTAGACAACTGAGAGAGTGGCAGAGACATCAAAAGAACAGTCTTTTTGCGATGAGAGTACATCTGCATGATAAGAGGTTTTGCAGCATGAGAGAAAGTGGGTGAAGACATAACTGGAAGAGGCAAAGGAAGAGGACACTGATCAAGTGCAACATCATTCAAAGCTTTAGAAAATAAAGGAACATACCCAAAGAATGTAACATTAGCACAAACAAATTGACGACGATGGATTGGATTATAGCACTTATACCCTTTTTGTGTCCGCGAATAACTTAAGAAAACACACTCGATAAATTTAGGATCAAGTTTGTGTGTGCTTGGATGTAACTGATGAACAAAGGCTACACAATCAAAGACACGTGGTAGAAGCGAGTATGAAATTTGACCATTAAGAATATACGAAGGTAGGGGATTAATTAGGTAGCATGCAGTAAGTACAATATCACTCCAGAAAACTTTAGGG